TAATCGTTTCTTCCTTTTGTTTTCGCGATTTTTAACATTGGCTTTTCTTCTGTTATTCATGATAATTTGAAATTTGAATTTTTTGGAAAGAAAGCATTGAGATGCAGTTAAACTCTTCCCACATTCTCTCAGATCTTTGATTTATCCAGCATTAAAAAAGATGATCAATATCTAAGAAATGGAAGAGTTTAGAAAGAATGTTTCCCCTGTAACGATGTCTCAAATTAAGTAACTGACAAAATTTGAAAAAAGATTCTTAAATCTGAATACATGAATTGACGGATGCAACTTTACCAACATATTTTTTTTGCACACAAAAATTCCGTTCCAAACTTTGAAGCCTAAAGAATTCAATTAAAATGAATCACTAAAAATATCGGAGATGACAAGGTCAATTATTTTCTTTCGTGCATTAGTTAATGGTGGGAAATTCTTGGGTTTTGGAATCATAAGTTCAGGACAATTCTCTCGCAAATGACCATCTGCGTTACAACATGTGCATCGTACTGCTGGTTCCTGGAAAAAGTAATCAATAACCCACACAGCAATAATTTAAATTTCACTGAAGCAACGGCCTGTACCAATAGTCAACATGAAATGGAAATAAAAACGAATATGAACATTATCCTAGAAAAATGTACCATAGTTGAAAGTGCCGCAATATTTTTTAAGTCATTTTCCCGAAAATTCAAGTTGGATTCAACTTTCAACTTTTCCGGATATAACTTGTTTCCACTGTGTTTAATAAGTTTCATTGCCGTATTAATTTAAATTAACATACCAATCCACCAGTGAAGCAGTGTAAAGCCCATGGATAATCATATTCATTATTATTTAAAGCCAACCATAACTTGCGAATAGCCATTTCGTCATAATCATGAAATTTAATTTTCAAAACAGCAGCATTTGCAAGCCTGGTCTCAGCCAATTCATCTTTTTCCTGAAGGATGTCGAAAATCCAAAAATTCAGTACTATTATGAGAACGAATACCACAACAATTAAAATTTAATACTAAATTACTAAAAACCATATAAAGCATTATGAAAATCACATATCATATCCTTCCTTCACATATAAGTTTTGGACAGTGGCTTCCAACAATTCAAGTTCTTTTATTCGCTGGAACAAAGCAAATACCAATTTTAATGAAATCCCGATTTCCAAATGGTTTTAAGCAAACTTAAGATAAAGTTAAGCTAATCATAGAAATTCACAGTTAGTGCACAAAAACTCGACAGTTTCAAACTCGCTAATAGTAAAAGTACTTCGAAGTTCCAAGATTTCAAAATAGTGAAACCAACTAAAGAAAGTTCCGAGAAGCAAAAATTATGCTGCTGGAGAGTTGTTGCCTTCAGATCATGATTGCAACATGTTTCATCAGCATCATCTCTTTTCAGATTATTATGAGACGTATTCAAATCCAGGCATGAGGCAGTAGGGTCGGAAAGTGGCATTTCCAAATCTTTGCATTTTCCAGATGCCAACAAATTTTCATCGATCTCATCCTTAAAAAATGTGAAACAATTCCCCCGGGAATCTGTCTGATATTTTTACAGGAAGACTACTAGAGTTCTACCAGCTGTGTATATCATTTATTAGAATGGGTATACATAGTCAACTAGCTTATTTGGTTAAGAGAAAATTATCAACAGTGGAAAAATTTATTACTCCCACACCACTGTTAGGATAAAACCGTATCCAGTGAGGAAAATCAAAAAAGAAAATCTTTTTCAATAATATGCTTAATTATTTTAAACATCATCTTATTTGCATCCCCCCCTTCCCTCCTCTCAGTACATGAAAGAAGGAATCTCCTCTAATTTTATTTGCTTGATTCCTGTTATTGCCATATATTTGTACGCAAAAAAATTTTATTGCTACAATTAACTTCATTGACCTGAAATTCCAATATCAAAATTTTTGCATTTATTTATTCGCTTCCCCTTTCATCTGATCTCTCTTGTGTTGCTTTATTCCTATTTTCTTTAATTAAAAAAGTAAAAAGCACTACTAAGAAACAGACGAGGAATCGATAATGCATAAAAAATTGCCGTTTTTACGAATAATCGTATAACTGATCATTTTCTGAAGCAAAGGTGTTTCACTATGGTCTAAACTGTTTTCAAGATGTAAGATTGCACCTGTGAGTTTAGATTTTCCAAAGTATCAATACTATAACGTAGAAGACTTTTGTCAGCATAAAACTCGTCATATTCATAAAAATATCATCGGTAATTAGCGTATTACGACATCCAATTAAGGAAACTAAAGTTCGAAAATTACCCGGTTTGTCCAGAGCCCTGTTGTAGTTTCCAATCCATTTTCGATTACAGTAGTAATTTCTTGTTTACTCATATCGGCCTCCATGATCCGATTCTGTGTCGCTTCTAGACTTCTCACGTCTAAAAAATCGAAACATAAAAATTAGAGAAATATTAAACTGTGAAAATCGATTTTATTGCAGTCGCACCAATTTTATTTTGGAAACAAACTTTTATATAAATTACCAACGTCATCCGAACCGCTCTTGTTATTTTGCTGATCATTATTTGCTGCACTTTCATCGCAGCAGGAATCATTCAACAGCATGGTTTTTTTCGACCTGCGTTTTCGCTTCTATAATGGCGTCGAAATGGAAAAGATTATATAAAATTCCTCTTATATAGATTATATAGAATTCCTCATATAAAAAATAAGTTATATTAAAAAATTCGTCACACAACAGATGAAAAACCACCTTTTTCATCCGCAGATCAGCAGTTTCGGGTGATATAACGGAATATGGGATTAACGAACAAACAACAGTGCGCGGTAAAGCAAAATAAAAATAAGTAGATAGAAAGCAGCTCGAGAAATAACCATTTATGCGTTGCTGCGGCTGCATTATGTGATCTGGAGCAAATGGATCTGAAAAACAAAAAACATATAATAAAACTACTCGTACTTTCCGAAAAAAAATACAAAAGAATACAAAAGATGATGAAAATTACAAAATACAAAAAAATACAAAAGATGATGAAAATTATCATTTTAATTCGCTCTTTAACAGTGCAACAACTTTTTATATTAGGCGAGGTAGAGGAAATACGACTTTAGTGTTGAAGAAATTTGAAAAATTCAAAATTTCACTAAATAATCAAAGCAAAATAACCTTCGACTGCAAGCCGTTTCTTGTTCCAACGTATACATTCTTCTGACACATATCTTTTTCTCAAACGTATTTGTATCAGTTCTTCAACAGGATGTTCAATAGTGTAGTAGCGAAATAAATCAATCCAAATTTTGCCGAAATCCCACTCTTTACTGCCAGTACCAAAATCAGTATTCTAAAATGAAAAAACTAGGCATGTAAAAATGTACTTTAAAGAATTTGAAAAAAAAAGACATACTATCTTATCCACTTGGTGCTCAAATTCGAGACTTCCGCTGTCTAGCAGCATTATTTCTTCTTCATCTAGGATCTGCAAAATTTCCATAAGTTCACTTAAATTACTTCAGACACTCAATATTTAAACTTTGGAGATAAAAAGTGTGAGTCTTCTTTCTTGTTAAACATCATTACTTTTAAATTTCTCCCGATGAAAACAAATCAAATCTTTAACTAAAGCTTCAGGAAAAATAGAAATTTACCGGAATAACTCATAAATTTACCTCGAAGACAAAAGGAAGTAATCCCTTACGTTGCAGATAATAAATTAATATGATATCGAAAGCAAGTTTTGGTATACCACCTAACTGCACATTAGTTAATGAACACAACTACAAAAGTATTTGAAATCATACAGAAATCGAAACTTTTTATCGAACTTTGTTCTTTAAAAATGAAAAACGATCACAACAAGAGTATTTATTTGAGATCATGAGGTTTTTAAAAAATGAAATGCAAGAAATCCAGCATTAGTAAATTCTAGCACCTATAAAACATTACTGGTCTCAGCAGTTTATATGCAACCATATAATTCATACAAACATCGACTCAAGCCCCATAGAGATGTCAAGTTTTTTGTTTATCCAGGTACGCACGATGTTCTGAATAAAATGCATAAAGACGCGATAACCGATTATTTCTTAAATCCAAGCATATTTCCTGAGCGGTTCTAAGGGCAAGAATATTCGCAGTACAAATGATTTTGCAAAGGAAAGGAATAATATCTATTCATACCTCAGCCCATGAACGAAAAACAGTAGCGAGAATCCTGAACTGTGAACAAATCGCACAATACAAATTAATAAGCTGCGTAGCACGCTGCTGTCGAACGCAATTTGTTGTAATAACAACTGCAACGGAGTTTATAATGCAGCGAACTGAAGGATCTGGACGTTGAAAATCGGAGGTTATAGAATGGACAGTAAAGTCTTTCCCTGAAAGATAGGAATAATTCTTTTAATTTCAGAACAGTATATAATTCAGGAAGTTAGAAATAATACAAGAAGTCGAAAAAAAAAGTACCAAGTGTTGTATTATCCAGAACTTCCATAACCCGTGACAATGCGTAACCAAGCGAATATTCTAGTGGGAAATTCAATGCTAAATTCAAATTGCTATGTGGAGTCGCTAGCCTTGTCAGATATGAACCATAAACCATCACCGAATAACCTGTGTATTTGAAACATGACAAATGAAATTTTGATAAGGGATTCGAAATTTTTAGAATCCTAATAAAATTAAAGACATCCTAAACTTCAACAATTTCACATCACTGCACATCATGTATCGGCTTCAGTCATTTCAAAATACCATAACGGTTCAATGGAAATAAGAAATTATATAAGCCTTCATGAATTTAAGCACAGTTGTCGAGTACAGACACGAGCACAATTATGATTAATGATAATTAATTTTAGCTGAATTTCAGTTTATATTCGACCATGAAATTAAAAAAAAACAACTTTTGTGGGCTTCGTTTTGCAAAAAATGTGACAACAAAGTCGCTATTTGTGATCCGACTTCATATTGTACATCCGCAAGCCTCGTGAAAATGTATAACTCTCGAATAATCTGGTTTACTTTGAACATTTGTTCTCTTGCCGGCCCTGGCAAACATCCCAATTTTTTTAGTGACTCTGCCTTCTACAACTGTATTTTATTAAATCAAGGAAATGCCTTCTAAAACTGTATTTTCTAAAATCAAAGGAGCATAGACTCATGATGCTACAGCAGCATGACATACATGGAAAGAACTGGACTACAAAACTCGAAATAAGGCAAACACGGAGGCCTTATATTTCATAGAAATTCTTTACCACAAAAACTATGTATTTTGTGAAAACTTTTTCAGCAGTAATTAAAATGCTGACCTCCCTGTTGTCAGTGTGTTCTAGTGACAAAAAATGCGCTATTGCTTGAGAAACTGAACAGATGTGATATTGGCATAATCCACAGTAGTAAATAGCTCGTGGGAAACGTGAAGATTTCTTCTTCAGCGGATAAATGTATTGCTTCTCCAAGTAAGACAAAGAGTATCTACTCACAGAATAAGGTAACTTTTTGCCTAAAGTAAAAACCTCAATGAGCCGAAAGCACTATAGGCTAAGGTACTAAAAACGGCTTTAATAAAGAGCCCAATTTCAAGTGATTTTCACATTCACCAGGATAAAATGAGTCATGAGATATTCGCTCCAATTGTTCAGCTAAGTCATTAAGTGCCTCGCGTATTACTTCCACAGATGTATTTTCATGTAGTACAGCTGACGCACATATTTTGTATCCACCTCGAGCTACCTGTTTAGGATCTTCCAACGGGCCGCAGCATTCAAACAAGATGAGTTCAATGAAATCTTTCCCTTCTGGTTTTTCAATTTTAAGCTGAAATTTGCAGAAAAATATGAAGGAAAAATATCTGACAGTCAAAAATGCTAGAATGAAATGAAGGTTACTAATAAGTTAAAATTCACCTCCACTTCGCCATTTTGTACAAATTTATGCGTGCCAGGGATTAAATTAAATCCATCAAAAGAATCTTTTCGAACCAAAAGTGGACCGCTCCTCAGTGGTACCTAAATTAAACTTTAATAATTCATTTTGAAACAAAAATATTAAATCTATGGATCTATGAAGAAATGCAGTGAAATTACTACAAAGAGATAAGAATTCACAGCCAGGTCGTACACCTAAAAAGCAAACCTCGATGGTGAAGTGTTTCTTCTCCCTGCCACCAATACCCACTTTTATTTGTTCCTTGTTTCTTGAAGTTAGATTGTCTGCAACTTGAACGAACTTTATGTTTTCTCCAAAAGTTCAATTCCAAAAGTTGTTTTAATCTTGTATTGAACCCGTTGCAATCATCGTTATTTCAGAAACTAGCTTTTCAGTTGAATTATTAAATGAAGCACTACCTTCATTTTCTACATTGGCATTATCAGTTTTCTCGGAAATTGCATTATTAATAAGCCTTTGCCTTTCTAATTCGTCAGAAGCAGTCAGACATTTTAGAACTTTTTTCTTGATCAGTGGTGAAGTTTGTAACTGCTTAGTGAAATAATCACACTGAAATGAATGAACTCAGTTTTATATGTTTATGTAGTTTAAAAAAACCATATTTACGGTATGGTATGCGATGCAAATATCTAAAGAACTGTTGATAAAAGCACAAAAATTCCTCAGGCTATTTCTTTTCTATGAAATCACAAGTTGCCTGGTTATACATCAGGTAGCCTGTTCCAGTCGTGATAACCATGCAATTTGCAAGCGAACACCGATCCCCAATATGGGACAATTTAAAGTACTTGTAAGTTGCACTATTTTTTGAAAACTACAATTAACAGTATAAGGTTGCAAGATTACTCCTCTTCTTCTTCGATGTTTACTCATCCATTCATGACTTGCTATATTCCAACAATTCGAGGAGTACTCATTTCCCAAATGATCTCAAAGTGAGACTACTATACTGAAGGAAAAATTTTACAGAGCTTGAAGATATAAATTCAGTGTCATCGATATCACCTGCCTGGTCGAGTAAAGCTAATTCAGTAACAGGTTCTAGATTCTCGCTCCCTTCTTCGTCACTTAATGATATTACATCTGGTTCATTGCTACTGGCAATAGTATTTGCATGCCCAGTTACGGAAGTACTTGCAGCGGACGTTGTCAAACGAAACTGCAAACTACTTGTCTTTGACTACTTATCCACAAGAAATGAAGTGAAAAAACTGAAAGATGCAAACATAATGGTACGTTATGATGAGGACTGAAATAAGAGGTACGAAGTACATCAATATTATGCAAAACTTGTAGACCGAGGAATTTTTCAGCCTGTTTCTCTTCTTATGGCGTTTTTCGCGACCAGAACCCATGTCTGGACGTTCCCAAAAGTCAAGAACTTCTGAATTCATTGGAGATGATATATCGTTGACTTTCCAGTTCAAATGACTGCTATCCTATATGTATCAATAATTTCCGTCATAAGGATCATAAAAAAGGTTTTTCTGTGCAAAGGACCCCCCAAAAACTAGGGGACATCCTGATTTGATGTAGTAATTATTTGATTATGGCATGTGACAAAGCTTACCTGAATTGTGGGTCGGGTAGACCCGTTTTTAAATGGAGTTAGAGATGTGTCAAGCGTACTAATAGTTGAAGGAATACACGATGTTCGCCTTCGTCGAGCTCCCTTTCGCTTATTGATATTTTTCGAAATTTCCTGATTCTTCTGAAAAACAGTGGGACAAAACAAAACATACAGTTTACGGTAGAACAGACAAAAACAATTTATTTCAGTGAATTCAATAAACTTTACCATTAACCACATCCTTTGCATAAATTTCATCCATAGCCAATCGATAACCCTTTTCAGTCAATCATCTTTAATTATCAGTCATATCGCAATGCGGTACTTTCACTACACGTTTGAAGCATTTGAAGTGTGAAGCTTTTAGGAGTTCGCCGAATGAGTGATAAGACTACATACAATAATTTTGGCTTTAAAAAGTATACCAATAATAAATTACCGTTCGAGTAGGTTGTGAAATAATTGATACATCATTGTTGATCTTTTTCTTTTGCTTCCCCTTCTGATCTGCAGTAGTGCGCCTCGAACTGTTCAAACCTCCTGCTGTCGCATATTCCATCTTTCAGTAACTGAATTATACTCAGCCCTCTATACCTTCTATAAATAAATCATTCCCCCGCAAGTGAAAAGGATCACCTATCTGACGGTATTGGAAACAATGCGGCCATCCAATGTAACACCACATCCCAAGTAGCTATCGTATAAATTTTTTGATGAAAAATATAGCTTGAATTCGAAAAGTAATGTAAAAAGAGATTTTTTTTCAGGAATTTGCTTACAATTTTATGCAGAAATTATAAAAAGAAGTTTAAATGAAGGTACAAAAGAGATGAAACACTTAAGGACGATTTATTATTACGTTCAATTAAGGTAAAGTAGGCGCTCCTGTGCGGTGGCATGCTCAAATCGTTGCAAGTATTCTTGTTCCCATTTTTAGCTCTTGTTACCGGTCTTGTATTAGATGCTACAAATCGTCGCATCCGGTTTCTTCGTATACCGGATACTATTCTCATCTTCTTATTCGCACTTGGCACAAGGTTCCATCCTTCTTTTCATTTTCAAAATTCATTGAAACGTACCTTTTACGATTTTTACTTGCTTTTAATATCAATTACTTAGTTTTTTGTTTTTCTTTTTTAAACTTTCGAACTAATTTTGTTTATGAGAAGATATGTTCGAAATCCCTTTTTGAATTATTTGGCGTAATTAAAAAAGTGAAATGGTTAAAACATATAATCATCACGAAACGATGCACTTGTACTGTGCTGACCTTTGACCGACGCCTCTGTTGGAGAACAAAGAGTCGAAATTGATAAATTGAAGTTTTTCAAGTAATGACTTGAATTACTCAAATTTTACCTTTAAAGACAAGTATAATATTTCAGTTTTATTCTTCATTTATTCTTTCCAAAAAATTTGATGGCACACATTGATGAGACGTATACATGGAAGACGGTTGAACCAGGCATCGTTGTTGGAGTACGTTTTATCAGTTATAACCAGTGATGGTGCGGCATAAGGGAATTCCGTCTTGGAGATAGGACAAGCAACAAGATATTTTGATCCGAGTCAATCTTTCATTTAGGTTCTTCTACCGCTACTTATTTTTGAATCTGCTGTAAAAAGCAATTCACATCTATTCTTTCGCAAGCAATGGCTATTATTCGCGCTGACCGCTACTGTCTATTTATTAACATTAATATTATACACTGCTCTAATGCTGCCATTTTTACGGATTATGGACAACTGGAATATATTCACGGTTGGTAGATTATCACTGTAACACTGTAACGACTTGCCAGTCTGAATGGAAATTGAAAATTAAAATATAGGTCTTAGATTTTATGTAAATTAACATCAAATGAGACAAATCTTCGGTGCATTGCTTCTGGTGTTATTGGAATGAATCATTCTGGATTACATGGTTAATTTTGACCTGGTTTTTTCATCATGTACGTGTGCCATTCTTTCGAAGATCAGTTTCACGGTGGATATCACTCGGAGATACGGAAAGTAGATTGTTTATGACTAAATGATTTCAAGTACTTTCCGTTGCAAAACGTTTTGTTTTCTATTTTTTCTGTATTTACTGACTGGGACGAATTTCCATGCAACTTTTTTTCACTTGTTAACTGATACACGCCTAACTTTGCTTCATCATTCTATGAATTTCTGTTTTTATTATTCCTTAATTAGCCGCTTTCAAGGTGGCAGAAAAGGTTTCTTTGTTGAAAGTATCGATAATGCCACAGAAATCGCATTTTTACCATGAAATATCCGACTGCAGTTTGCGGTTTCTATTTACTCTTTGGCTTAGATTATCACACTTTGATTCATTCCTTCTAAAATGGCATCGACTGGACATTGGCTTTGATAGCTGCGCTGACTTTCATACTTATCCCTTTTCTTTTTAAGCCTCACTCATTTCACAATCATTTTTCGCATGAGCATTTGCCACATTATCCATAGGCACATGTGATTTATCTGTTATTTATAGCAAATCCACAATAAGAACTGCCAAGGCAAATGTCGTGGATTTTCCAATAATGATAAGTTGGGATCATCTAGGTTATGCTGATGGGTGCAATTCTGGCTGCAACAGACCCGGTAGCAGTTGTTGCAATTCTCGAAGATATCGGTGCTCCGCAGCGTATCAAAATACTGGTAGAGGGTGAGTCGTTGCTCAACGATGGTCTGGCCATTTTCGTCTACCAAATTCTCCGTAGTTTTGTTTTGGTAATTCCTGTTCATAATTTTCTCTCAGAATGGTAAGGTTACGGTTGGGAATGTATTTGTATCTTTTTAATTCAAACTATAAAATGTCACACAATCACAACGGAACGCACCAATGAAATGGCATATTAGGCAGTATTAGGCAGTACTTTACGTCAAGTAAAGCTTTTTTCGTTTTATTCCAGCAGTGTTTGTTGCTCTTTCAGCACACTTATAAATCAGCAAAGTTATAACATAAAGGTGGAAATCTTAATTGATTTTCCAAAATTTGATTTTGATTTTAGTTGATTTTCCGCACCATTCAGTGTTGACGATGAAGTTACCCAAACATCGCTGATTCTTGAAAGTTATTAGCTTAAGCTTCTCTTCGATTTCAGAAGGAAGTAAATTTACCATCCTATCCGTATACTTTTGTACATTACGCAGCAATGTGCGTAAGTTGTATCGTAATATCGCCGTTGCTAGGATATACCAGTGCTCATATTACTGTTATGATAATACGGCATGGTATTACTGAGGAGAAAAGAATTCAGGTCATTCATTATTTTTTCATCCCTGATACTTGGCGTTGTGATTTTAATATTGAAAATGCATCAAATATTTCTAAAAGAAAATATCATTTGCCATTTCCATGGGATACCTTGGATGAGATATTAGGAACTGTCGTAGTTCGAGGCTTAACTCGAAGTTAGTTCGTTCCTTGGTTGGAATCAAAATCATTTAGTATGAATTTATCTACAACTGTATATTTCTCCACAATGCAAGAGATCACTATGTAAGATTTTTACAATTTTAGATGTTTTTGGTGATATCGGTATACTTTGTATGGCAATTGGGTGAGATAACCAAAGGATCAGCCGCTGTAGCCACCGTCTTTTATGGCGTTACACTAAATTATCTTAGGTGATTATTTATTGTTAAGCAACGGTATGGAGAAAAAATCAATGATCAAGCTCGAAAACTTCTGTAGAATAAAAAAAGGAGAAAAAAGAGTTCCGTGGAAGTAAAAAAAAAAAACTGGTGAGAGGTATGGGTGGTACTGGACCTTTAACTGTTTATCGATCTTATATTGCTTCCAAAAAATCCTTTTGTTGTACATTGCATCGATTTGTAGAGAAAGATTAAATCCAAGAAGTGTAGAATTGACTTTGCAAATTTGGACAGCATTCGGGTATTGGGCTAATTGCATCGTATTCATGTTCAGCGGCTACGCCATCGGTTTGCTGCTCTTCGATAATCCGGTTGAAGTGAATCTTTATGTGTCTTTTTTTTCGATTTCATCAAAACCACCACTGAGGGAAGTTTAGTTGCTAACCGTTGGGGCGTTGTGTCCAAGGACGGAGTGTTGAAGTATATCATGTTTAGATCGATGTAATCTATCACTTAATCTCCGGCGTACTATTATTTCCCATATCGTTGGTGGCTCGTATATTGGCGTTACTTGTGTTTCGTGAAGTTTGGAATGCACTGGGTAGTTCTCATATTGTTTATGACACCGATTATGTCCTTTTGGCGTATGGTGGCCTGAAGGGAGCATTGGCACTCTTGCTGGTACATGAATTTACCGAAAGTGTTCAATATGATCCGTACGCCCGTCGAGTTGGTGAGAAAGTGGTACTTTATGCGAGTTCCGCCGTTTTTGTTTGTTTGGTGATTCAGGTAGTCACTACTGATCTTCATCTATCACTGTTTATAATACCTCTTTACAATGCAGTTTGCAAAAGGCTGTTGATGTCTAAGCATTAATTTCTTCTTTCGTTGATTTTCGAGTGAGGCGTATTTCTGAAGTTAGTTGAAAAACGTTAGCGATTTTGTTGTAAAGTAACTAAACGCTCCTATCCCAAATTTAGTTAAAATGCTGTTGGTTTTCTCATAAAATACTGGAAAATTATAGGGAATGACATTTTCATACGTTACAAATCGTGAAGGTACAAATCGTCGATCACGTTATATTAAAGATTCGGAGAAGAACGTAGAACGACACCTAAATCGTACGCTACGTGCAAACATAGGAGCAATGCGTCGCCAAGCTGACTCTTATCTCACAGAGGCTAACTGGACCGTAGTCAATGAGCAAATCGAAGCTAATGTCTTTAAAGTAAATTTTTTTTTATTACAGCTCTTTTTGGTATCTTTTTGTATATTCGAATATTTTTTTGAACTACCAAAGTACGCTTTTTCTTGATTCATTGGTTATCACAGTTTTGCCGAAACTGATCATAATTAGTGATTTCCAGGGCTTTGCAAGTAATGTTGGACAGTATTCACGAGTGCAGACCAGTATCTATGATGAATCGGTGAAAAGTGTTGACAGTCAGTCGGTGGATGAGTCACTTCTTATGGTATCTTATTTCTTTTTATCTTTTATCCCTCTCTTTATGTGTACGAGAATCATTTCTAAATTCTGACCATTTCGGAAGTGGGATCTATCGAAATTTCTCACACTTCATTATGTAAGCTATCGTACGGTTTCTCAGTATAATAGCTCTCCAGTGTTTGACAAACTTTTCCTTTGAAATTAAATGTTATTTTTAACTACAGAAGAAAGACGACAGTGATGTTTGCACTGGTTACTATAGTATCCTTCTTGCTCGAGTATACAGCCTTTGGACTTTGGGTGCGATTTCTGGACGTGCAGCGCATTTAGTAATCGACCTTCTGGAACATGGTGTTGATGAAGGAAAGTTAACGTTAGATGACTTCTGCGAACATCTAAATTCAGCTGATAATAAATGGTATCACCATGTCGAACTGAGGATCCTAACAGTGTTACGGGTTATGCCTTTAAAAATTACTTTAAAAAGCAAGAATATTCTTCACACTTCAAAAGTAGTGTTTAACGGAATATTAGTTTAAATCTATTAGAATATCTCAATAAATGCTCAATGTCAGCCCACAGAATTTGATTTCCACTAAATGATTTATCATTACATTAAGTTATAAATACCTCAAAATATAAATACCTCAAAATATATTAAACTCAAGTTTTTAAATTTTCAGTGTTGGATTGATACGGACACAAAGCTGAATCGCCTAAACTGGATGGGTATTCCGTTCTTGCCTTATCCAAGTCCCACTAATATTTCTGTTTTAAAACCGATTCGGTCCCTAGAATGGTATATATTTAGCGACCAACTAATCGACTATCCCCACGTTCTGCCCTTGCTTTCATTAATTAAAAACCATTCCTAATTATTAAATAGATCTACCTTCATAAACATGTTCGAGCATTGTAGGGCAGTTCCTCAGCAGTTCTCATTCTCGTTATGCATCTTTTCTGATTCGTTTTTTTTAATTAAAGGTGGTGCATATTTTCCGCATTTTTGGCTATCATTCAGTCGATCCTGATCGCATTTGTTATTTTCTGGCAGCCATCAGTTGGAACCGATGTCAGCTACTCAGTCCTGATGTTTACATTCTTGATTGCTTTCATTTTTTTTGTTGAAGAAGTGGTGCATTTTCATCGATTACGGAAACCAGCGTATCGAATGGTTAGTTAGCTATTGAAGTCGTTCATCAATTTCCCACCTTAACTTTGTATCTGGCCTCCGCTTTATAGTGTTTATTATGTTGCCTTGAAGTGAAAATTATTGAAATATTGAATCACGCTACATTTTTCCGCAGTCAAATGTTTGCAACAAGCTAATATGCAACCGTGGATAAATGTTGCGAAGCTGTTCAGTGAGTGATATTTAGTTCCTACAATTCTTGACGAGGTTACAAACGATGGTTTGAGGAATTAGATCGTCTGGATATGCGCTGCTTTCAAAGCGTGAATCGGATTACTATCGAGTTTGTCCTATTTCTTGTTTATGTATCATTAATTGTTAGTATTTGCACCGTTCTTTCGGTTATATTGGCCAAATATCCAAGTGGTTCATGCATACAGGATAATGGACAGTGGAGAGTATTGTGTTAGTTACTTTATTTTAGCTTTCTGGCTTTTCTTCTTGAAGAGAAAGGAAGTATTTAAAGAGGCACAATTTCATAAAGCAATGAAATTATCTTTTTTTATGATTCCTTAGATGGGTCTTTCGGTATCTTAAAGAGATTTGATATTTTAATAATCTTTTCAATGTTTTTCCTGAATCCATTCCATCATTTACGTTATATTTAGAGATTTTTCTGGAATCTCGACATCTGAAAACCTCTTTTCTTTCTCTTCTTCCAACTATTTTATTTTCAGCTGTTTGCAACACAATGCGTTTCATACTTCTTTTATTTGTGGTACTTTTGACACTTCTAAAAATCCTACGCATCACACCACTGTTTATTTTCACGTTACATGAAGCATTGTATACTGCTGGCGTATGTTGCTGTTTCTTTCTTCATGTCCCCTTGTATGTATATAATGTCACTTTAATTACTTTATACTTTATGCCATGTGTTTCGTAAGTACTTAACTTTGTTTCAGCTTCTGCGTGTACGTATTCAGCTGTCAGCACTATATTTTCTTCAATTCCTTCTTAGTCAACCGCCAGCAAAATTCACGTTTTTTCCGGGTGATTCCTATCAGGTAGCATTAGGAGAACAGAAAAATTTGAGCAAAATTGTGGATGCCCTGATCCGGAAAGCGATGAAAAAAAACAAAGAAGTGCTTGACTTGATTACTGTTATCAAGACCAAACAAGCTATCCGAATGGCTGCACAAACGCTGGAACATACTATTGTTGATTTGCAGAAGTTCGTAGAAATTACCACTTCATAAAAATCCAATTGTTAACACATTAGCTTTTGATGATCACATATGTAAAACAGTCGAGAATGCGGAGTTAGGCTTTATATGTTTTAAGAATGTATTCATCAAGAATTTCCATCCTGTAAATTGCTGGAACGACTCTTCGCTTAAATAACTGCATTCCGGTTTTAAATCCGTAAAATTCAAAGTATCCATGAATTTATGTATAGGCATCTTCGTTACAGGCAGGGATTTTTACATCACGAATCAATGCGGCAGTGGGAGCGCTCTTTGAATCGTTTGCGTGATCGCGGAGAACGTCTGATTAATTCTCCGGATCCTAGTTTCCAGGATGCTCTAGAATCTGTGTATTGGATTCAGGCTATTGATAATCAGAAAAGGCAAAATTTAGTGGATAAATTGGTCAAATATCTTGAAACACAATCAGGAAGTGAGCAATCAGGTGGCCAGTTGGTTCAAACATTCGGGAAGACGATGTACTTCGTCCGAAAGGGTATTTGCAAGTTCGTTATCTATCTTTGACACACAATTTCTTCAAGAATTTCATTTATTACATTCCGGCACAGTTTTCGTTTCTAAAAACTTAAGCAACCGTTTTTAACTAGCTTGTTTAGTTTCAAATACGAATACGACCGTGCAGCATTATCAATGATAAATACGACTGATAATTACAGAGTAACCGAAATGACATTGTCTAGACGAGGCAAAGAGCACAAGCACGATTACTATGTATATCAGGGACGCTTTGTTGGGGAGCGGAATTTGCTAGACAAAAATGATTTTGTTTGTTTTCTTTTTATTGCCAGAAATTTTTTCAAATTTTCCTGTTAGGGGATGAAATTTGCTGGACAAAAATGATTTTTTGATTGCCAGATGAAAAGAGCGGTAAGCATTTTTCAAAAGATTGCCGATTGCTCAAAATTTTGGTGTCACTCAGTGACACCAAAAAAATTGTATGATAAAATAAACATAAAATTTCGAATTAGAAGAAAGAAGGAAGCTAATCATAGGATTAGCTTAAATTTTGCGTTTCTATAACTGCTGGATTAGCGATTTATATCTTTGTTTAATTCTGCTCAGAAATACCTCTAAAAAGTGATTGTTTTTTTTAGGAAATCTTTTCCATCCTTTTTAACAGCACATCCAATTTGATCATATTTTTGTTTCAGCGTCGTGAATCAGTGAAAAAACCAAAAGTTGAATATCGAACATCAACCGACTGTATACTAATCAAGATTGATGAAGATATGATGGACATTGTTCGCTTATTTGACAGCTCAATCATTAGGACAATATCACGAAAGGAGCAAACACGACGACTTATATATGAACTAAAGGAACAACATGAATCGTTCGTATTTATTTCCTCAAAATTTGTACTGTGCGAATAATAATTTGCATACTGATAACATTTGCGCAACTTCATTTTTGCTGCTTTTATGATTGGAGATTAGGTGAATTTATTGGAGTGGAAACGAGTATATAACCTCTAGTTGGAAGGATCTTTCTTGAAATGGAAAGGTTTTGATGAAATATAAGCTCATGATATCCAGATTTATTTTCAAAATGATCATCGAATATATAGAAATTCACCTACTAAATTGATTGAAATTAAAATAATGTTGGGTGAGTCGCATTATTGCAGTTTTGCTTTAATAACCCTAGATGAATTCGAAAAATTATACACGAAGCGTGGATATTCGGTGGGCGGTCGAATGGACATTGAAGTTGGGACTGGAAGAAAGCTTATCATCGGATTCCGAGCGATGATTGTTGCTTTGAAGCCTTCGACGAGCTTAGATGATCATTATCATATTCTGGGACCGGCTGTTGTAACACTAAAACCTGTTGGTGAAGATGTAAGCTTTCTTTTGTTCCAAAAAATATTGTGAGAAATTTGAGACAGAATAAACAATATGGATAACAGTTGATTTAGGAGAAGTTGAAGGGTTCAAAACCTAAAAATGAGTATATTTTTTTAGGAAGGAATGTCAGTCCTTATCGATAATGAACGAAGCGCCGATCAGCCAACCTTAGATGTAGAAAGTAATATATCGTTAGAAACTGAAACGGAAGAGGCAGACAAAATATTATCAAAGAAAAAGGTTTATAATAAAATGTGTTCACGCTAATAGAATTTTCAGTAGACAGTTGAAATTTTATGGTCCAATTGCTTTTCTGGGAAAAATAGTTTTCAAATTTACAGGGCAGTATCAAAAAGAAAATAATGTCGACAGCTTCCAGAACTGCGGTAATGATTCATATTCAATTAAATATAGTTGCATTAAGCTGATCACAATTCTCCGGATGAATTAGGATTTAGATACTTGCGTGGAAAGGGGAGCATGGAATTTAGAATTCTAATAGCTAATAACGAAAATTATTCTAATAGCGAAGAAAATTTTCTTTAGAATGTGAGTATTTTCAGTAATTCCTGCAAAATTAAATTGCTTCATTTAGCAAACGCTCCCGATCCTTTTGGAGAAGGCAAAATCATCGCTTGGAGAGTTAGAAAAGGTAGAAATCGATTTAACTGGACCAATTTTTGTTTTTATATAAATTCGCATTTACCACAGTCTTTATGAGCATGGCAATAAGATAACTGCGTTATGTCGCAGCTTCATGTCATCTTAAGTTTTTTGAAAGTTTTTTGATATCTCTACGTTTTTGAAATAACTGATTAATCTATTGATAATTGTTCACAACCAGAACAGTGTACAAAAAACCCGAAATTGACCAAAAATTGGCTGGCGTGCACTTCATTCTTAAATGTGGCTTATTTCAGGCTAAAATAGAAGCGAAAAAATTACGGCTAGTTTCGGAACGGACTCAACTGACAAAGAAGACGGAATCAAAACCACTAAAACCATCATCACTAGACATGATAGGACAGAAGACATTAGAAACGCAGCCGGATGAGGACGGTGGAGATCAAGAACAGAAAGAATCAGAACCTGCCGCTAAATTAAGGAAGAAGACGGAAAAGTCTAAACAGCAGAAGTACTTGGAAACCCAGCATACTCAGACGCAGTCAGAACAATCCTACATCACAAGTGTTAAAAGTTCCAGTAGTGAAGGTACTACTAATATCTCTCTAATTTCAGCAGCAATTTAAAAATCACACTGTCACCAAGCAGATTTTGCAACATTTTCTGTGCTGGTTCTAATTAATCACCCAATCATTTCTGCACCTTCTCCATCCGCCAAACCAATTCATTAATCATATCAGTCATTTACTAAACTTTTTTGCCATCTCAAATACATGCTGATTATGTAAATTAGATGAACGACATCCGGAATGATCTACCGTTTCTGACATGCTAAAATATACTGAAGTCTGCTTTTCTTTCAGCACCAGCGAAGTGAGCATCTATCAGAAAACAAAGAAACTAAAACCAATTGCTGTAAATCGAAGAATTATGCTTTTTTGCACATTTGGACTATCAGTCCCAGAAAATTTGTTGCTATAATCATCTCTAAATTGTATGGACAAGAAATTACTTTTTAATAATTAAAATTCAACTTTTACTTCTATTCGACATCTTTATTTTGTCCTGAATGATGTATAAATGATTCTATCTCGTAAGCATTGTAGAACTGTCTGTTTGTTTAACTGATTTCTTACAATCTTCTCCAGAACATATGATACTCAATATGGCATCTAATTACCGGGAATTATTGTGAGGAAGAGGAATCTCCCATCAAATCTTCCTTTTATCATGAACTTTCATGGTATTATTCAATCAACAAAGTTAGAGTTCATTCAAGATACATTTTCTATTAACAGTGAAAAACTTTGAAATATGAAGTTGTAAGCATTGTTACAGTGAGCTTTTAATAATAGAAGATGCTAAGGGAAACTTGGGTAAACCTAAGACGATTCTGTCAACTTATTGTATCAATACCAAAACAACAAGGCAGTTTAAAGTTTGATATGCGGGATAATACATTACTATGATACAAAGTTATACATTGCTGTCAGCTTGTCGAAACTTCACTGGTCTTTATTGTTGACCTAATGATGATTCAGGAAATCACTTATCCTGCGATTACATCTGAGCTTTTAAAATCTTTTCCCACTAGATCTGTAACAGATGGGACAAAACTTTCTAGTCGTAGACCAAAAAGTCAAAGGTCAAAATCAAAGGTTTGCCAACATTTCATAAGTGAAATTATGACGGTGCGAAGTTTTATTCCTCACCCAGTTCCTGGAAATCAGCTTACGGTAAAGGTAAAATTAAATGCTGTAAAAAAAAGTGAAAATAAATTATACAGAATGACTGGATTCAATGAAGAAAATTTTGAACTGAAATTAATGAATGCCACGGAAGTGATAGCATCTAGTCAGTCATCCAGCGAATTACATCTTTATATTTATCTTTTTTTTAAAACTTACTCAAACCTTCAGAAAGAAATTGCTTAAATCATTATTATTTCAAACGAAAACAAAGATCGAAAATACTTTGTTCAAGTTTGACTTATGTTTTGGTTTAGATAATCCATTTAGTATTCGAATGTTTGGGAAAAAAAGAAAGAGCATATGTAAAAATAAAAAGTGAAAAGAGATCTCGATGACAATTTAAATCAATAGCAAGGTAAGCACTGCTTAGGATTTACTTAATTACAAAGAACGATATCATGGAATTCCTAAAACATACTTGAATCCACTTTAATATTCATTCGATGCCATGTGGAATTTGATTGGTTCGATCCTAATTAATTTATTTTCCTAATGAACCTTGTTGTGCATTTAATGAAATTTTTGGATAAGACCAATGTCCACCTTGAGTATCAGGTGTCAGTTGATATCTTTCCCATTCAGAAACATAAAGTCGGAAACAATCCAAACGTCTGATACCGATCGTCATATCATCTTCATACTTATGTAATCGTTGAATAGCGTAGTCTGGCAAGCAAAAGTCATAACAATTCGAGCAACTTGAATCTAAAATATGCAAGTTTAAGATGTTAACTGATAATCGTGGTAAAAAATACCGGTATATATATAATGAGATCCAGCAAATATGTCAACAAATATCGGGATTTAAGCGGCTCAACAACAAGCAATACCAGTACCAAGAAATCCTAAACTTACCTCGCGTATAAACAGTATGCTTCAGTAAATACCATTTTGCACTTCGACAATCATCAATTTTATTTGTAAATTTACGTTCTGCACTTCTCGCATCTATTGCTTCTGCGTGGTACTGCCAATATTCTTGCCATCCATATTCCGAATAAATCTTAATGCTCAACCGGAAGTATTTCTTTTACAATGAATCGAAATGAAAACAGATTTGTAACTATTAGCAAAATTTTACTGGAATTTTTCAACAGCCGTAACGTTTTTGCCGCAACATTTTTTATAGCACAAAATTTTTTTTGTTGAAAATTAAGCAAAAATATTAGTGAGTAATCGGCATGCTAACCTCAGAGGTTACAGATGAAAGCGCATCACGAAGAGCAGTGACACTTGGAATGGCGGAACGATCAAGGGGCAGCAGGAAACATACGATATGCTTACCAGAACTATCAATCAACGCATGATCCGCTATTGCTATATAACCCTAAAATTTGTATCAGATGCTGCTAACAAGAAAGAGAAGTGATGCCGGTACTTGAACAGTGAAGTTGTTCATTTCCTTATTTTTTTTTGAAGCCAAAATGTAGATGAAAATAAAATGTACCGTTTCGAAATCGATAACACTGGACGAGTTACTTTTGAACGGTAAATTCCCGATCAGCTCGAAATGAACCTGTGATGAACTATAGAAGATAATATGAAGTAGACTGGGAATCTGATTGTAGACAGCGTCCTGGACATGATGGTGACATTTTTTACATATTGGTGGATATAAGGATAATGTCCGTATCTAAAAGCTAGATCTTAATGGCAGCGAAAATACTACAGAACTGATGTATTCAAAAAGAAATTGGTAAAAATCTTGCGATGCTTCATTTGGTACCATATGTTTAGAAGTAAATTAGTGAAATAAAAATTCTTGCAACTTCAAAATTATTATTAGAGGTTTCAAAAAATATTGGAAAAATTTAACGATCATTCGTAAAATTGAAAAAATGAGTCAATCCCTTTATAGGTTTCAAAAATGCAGCTCATCAAAATGTTTTTATCAATGAAAATATTACTGCCGGAAGTATTACTTACCGAGTAAGAGCTAAATAGAGCGTTGAGTACAATGCCCAGTAAAATGAAAAGTAAAGTGACAAGAAGTAAAAATAACAACAAAAGACAAATTAAGCGGGGCGTCCATGTCGTATTCCTGAAAAATTTCTTTTGATATTTAAAGCATTCACAGGAATTGACTTAGAATAATCGTTAATCTCTCATCTTGCATGAGAAGAATACCGATACTATGATTGTCGCCGTAGCATATATCTCTTGTGATGTCTGAGAAAAGTACCGTAAAGGGGGCCATGTATATTTCTGCTGCAATTTAACTCCATAAATTTTACTGTGAGGCATAGGGATTGACTTTTATAAGGAATAAAGCGGGGAATGTCTAAAAATAGGCCCATAAATTGATTTCCTGTTTCCAGATTTCCTTCCCGCTCTCTGAGGATCATCGAAGTAGTGTTTATAGCAAATTCGTTCATCCATATGTATTTTTTATTATGCTCAGAATTCTTTGAAAATTGCAATAATTTGGAAAACCTTGCTCTTGCGAGAATCTTTCTCATGAATTGTGTTACTTGTTCCCATAGTGTCGGCGTTCCTTCGGATGATTGCGAACGTGATTTTGTGAAACCGGCGATTAATGAGGCATCCGATCGAGGCTGTAATTCCGAATTATCTTAAGAATTTTAATATTTTAAGGCTGTGATACATTTTTAGTATTTGTGTTTTCAAGAAACTCTTATTAAAATTGGCCATTCCATTAGCACATGTTTCAACATACCGCATAAACATCAGCCGAATCATCCTGCTGTCCCATTTGCATACGTTTGTAGCTGTCCTTTCGAGACAGTTTACTAAAACAGGCTATACTTCTAGATTCGGACTAAACTGGACTGAAACAGGGTGAAATTGAACAGTGAACAATGGTCCGAAGAGGTAGATCCTTCAATTTGTCTTCAATTTGTCATTGATCTTTCAACAGAAGTGCTACAACTTAATTACACATATTGCAAAAATATCATTAGTACTATTGTTACCATTATTGGTGTTGTTGTTGCTCTGATCATGTTGGTCAGTGGAGTAAATTAAATTTACCCAGGAAGTAATGAGTTTAATTAAATGGATTCGGAGAAATTTTGTTGGACATTTTAGTGGACATGATGATATGAGTCAGACCGCTTCAATACCGGCATAGCCACATTGAATAATACGCGTTTTACAAAAAATTTCTGCCATGCCTTCTTTAGTTACTCTTTGTTCTGCTCTAAATTAATTAGTAAACGAACCTCTCTTCCGGTAAGGTGCCGATACATTGCCAATTTTTTGTTCTTTCAGCAGATGGAAAAGGCAGTGTATATACGGTTTTCCGATGATGATCAATTACAGCACCAATTTCATTAGCTGTTGACCTGTATGACAATTTGTTGTCATTTTGTGGAGAAATATAATGTTACAATTTTGGTATGGAAATATATCAACCTTGCTGAGTGGAGGAAACCGACTTCTTTGTGACTAGATTTTAGAGTTGAGGGGACTCCTGAGTCTTTTCCTTCACTCCGCTCCTGAATCAACGTTGACCGCTGATGTTCGACACTTCTATCCCTATGTATCCGTTGTTGATTTAGGCTTCGTTCTGTTTGTTGTATCGCGGATCCATCATGGATGAGGCCTGATCCATGCGTTTGCACTATTCGTGCACCACCCTCTGTAATAAATACTCTTCATGAGTGTCAAGAAGCTTAATCTAAAATCGAATCAGAGTTGGGATTCGATGGATAATGTTTAGAATATTTTAAGATTGTTAAAAGCATATCGCATTGCTACTTGATTTGTTGTGAAATGTTTCTACATCATAATTATGATGCAGCGCTTTAAATGCAAATGAATAAGTGTGGACGACTGACCTGATGTATGCACTTCGTGAACATCATATCCATAAGAATGAATATTTGCCATGGAACGATCCAAATTATCTGATAATTTGAGATATGGTACTGGTACGTTTGCTGATTCCTTGTGACTACCAGGAGACATTCCTGTAATTTTCCTGATAATTTGATCTTTCTTACTCCAAATTGGTTCTTTGTAAGACGAGAAGTGACGATTGGAAAAAATAACTTTTTCTTTTGTTTTTATTGATATTTTTGCACATCATATGTATGATCAAATGAGTAGATCGGTCAGAGTAGCAATATTTAGTTTTAAGTTAAATTTTCAAAACTGCTATAGATTCATAAGTGACAAGACAAAGTCTTGCATATTTCAGTTTTTGTTCCCGAACAGTAATTCAAGAGAACGTTAAAGGAAGAAATGGTGAAAATGATAAAATGAGGGAAAAGAAGGAATAGAAATATCCAAGAACTGCTGGAAAACGCTTTTAGAAGAAGAAACCAAAGTTTCGGAACTTTCAACAAACGATCTTCCATTATTTTGCTCATACTGCTGCTTTTTTTGACGAACGTTCGAAATCATATTTTTGATTTTTGCATTTGTGAAAAATATTTATTTTATTTTGAGCTGATTTCGAAGTTAAAACTCGTATAATTGGCCATTCATTTCAGGTTAATTCAATTTACTTCTCTTATTTGAATTTCAAAATGTAAGGAATATATGATGCAATCCTGAAAATTCATCCACAGATTATCAGTAATAGACGCATGAAATAAATTGTAAATCTAAGTTGTCCAAGCTATTGAAATTTTGGATTCTGTCCATTTCATTCTCTTTCCACTTCAAACGAAATTAACGCTATAACATGTGATATGCACACGTGATGCCCCCACGTGATACGTGATACGCACTATCAGTAAAATATTACACAGTGGAAATTATATAACATTCCGATAATAGTGAGATATTCAAAGTCCCTCTAAGATTATTGTTGGATTTGTATGAAATGAGTGATCAGTACAGGTGTGATTTCATAAATCAGTTTTTCATTCTATTAATAGATCGTTTTAAAAAATAATAATATTATCGATCCGCGCAAAAATATGCTTTTAGACATGATAACATAGATAATCAAAAAAGAGACTTTGTAACAATTGTAGCAAACTTTTCAACTTAATTCAGAGGGATGTCAAAAGAAACTGTGTGCTTCTTTTTTGACCATAACAACTTGTTGTATCGAATTATCAATCAAACTATTAATTATCAAGAGGTTTGAAAATTACTACAACAAAACATTCAAAATTCATTTAGGAAATCGACGTCCATTCAGAGGACAAGACAAAATAGGACGATGTTGTCGGTTTATTTGTTATTTGTTCACAGAGCTATGAGACATTTAATGTTGTTTATCTTTGCAATAATTCCAGAGAGTGCTAACAATACCTGATATTTGCATAAATGACGCATCTCTACTGCAATCTCTTTCACCGGTTGCATGGAATCTGAAATGATAATTGGCAAAATGAGATTTGAAAATCGAATTTTATAAGAAAACATAGCAGTTGAGCGATAGCTGAATAAGAATTTGCATTATCTATTAATAACTGTTTATATAAGAATATTCTATCTATTCAAAAGCGGCAGAGGAGCAAACCTCCGTTCCGCCTCACTGTTAAGCGCGGATGAAGTTGCTTGTAAAGAGTTTTGTGATGTAGGGTAAAAATCATGAACTGGTAATTCCTCATTGTATCGTTGTTCAACTGTCTCCTTCAGAATTTCTTGCAGGGGGACGTGTGAAGCATTGGCACCAGGTAATCGACGTGATTCGGTCACATAATGCTCGATGACTTCCTCTTGCTCAATTTTCTTTGCCGAGGATTCATAGTCCATCTAGGAGAAAATAAATTACGTAAAGAACAAGAAGAAATGGAAATATATTCTGCGGTATCACATCAAGGTCAAAAGTCAGATAGCTAGCAGATGGAAAATCGTTCTAATTAATAACTCAACCAGTTTACTGAATCAACGTATAAAATTATTTACAATAAATTATAAATTTGCTTTATCAATTTCATTACCCAAAAAAATGTAACAAAGAATGAGTTGCTTATGAAGCCAGGTAAAAGAAGTCGACTAATTCAAATTGGCAGGAGTAACAAATGCAAGTAGTGTGGTATAATTCTTGTTCAAAATGATTATAATGCTGAGAAATATTCAATGGAATCGATGAAGAAGGAGAACAGGTTGGAGTGAGACAAATGGTCAGAACGGAAAGGAAAGTTTCAGCGAAATGCATGCGGAATAGGACGGTGTGACAGGTAGGGTTAATAAAAATGTAATTTTTCATACAAATACTAACAATGAATACAGCAAAATCATTTGGCTGTCGGTGTATTTGCTGTGAATGGTATGGATTTCTTATTGAAAAAGTACTGTAGTATAGCAATCATTTTGTTGGCAGCAAATTAGAAATTGAAAGAATGATTCGATTCTGAACATAATATTGTTAATTCACTTCAGAATTACAGGAAAATTCGAGGGAAAATAAAAGCGCTTATTGATAACCAAAGAGGTAGATTTTTAATTGGGTTAAATTTATTGTTTCAAGCTAGCGGTCACTTGCGAAGTAAAGTTGAATTCTAACCTCAATCCAGTTCATGTTTCTTTAAACAAATTATTTAAATGAAATAGGAGAGCCCAGAATTTCTTATTCTATAACATTTTAGAAGTATGCGCAATTTAGTGAGCTGAAGTCATAATGATACCATACAGAAAAAGCAATAACAGATAACGGAAGAATGTTAGGATAAGAATTCATCAAGCAATATATTATTCATTTGTTTGGGATATATAAAAAACTTTTTTGCGGAAAATTAATGGAACTATGATTTTTTGATTATTTTAATGTTGATTATGTTGGTTTTCTGTTATGTCAATATGTTAATAAATGATTTTTTTTATTGTGATAACTCGGATAAATTTCTTGACGCATTTGGATGAAGTTGCACAAATCTTGAATTTCCAAGTTTTGCAAGATTTGCAAGCTGAATTTTATATGGTCTGAAAAAAGGTCTCATTTGTTTGAGCAACTTTAAAATTCTCGGAGCATCAATTTGAAAGAAAAGAATGAAATAAAAGTTTCAAATTTTGAAAGATGAATTTGCAAAAGTCTCCGTTCTATTCCACTATTTACATTCCTCAGTATTCTTTACATCTCCCCGTGGAAATACTCACTTTATACAAATCTTCCCAGATAAATAATACATTCGATCACTCATCATCCTTTAAAATACTAATCCTTAAATAACCACATCAAATAGCTATCTTTTCCAACAATCAAAAATCTTTCACAGTAGCGGTATATATATATATAACGTGTGTGTGGTGTGTGTGCACGTATGTGTATTGTAATGACAGTGTGTGTTGGAGAGATGGTCAGGTTTTGGAAGGGATTGTGTCAGGGGAAAACATAGCTATTGAGGAATGATGGTGCTGTTGCCCAATTAAATGAGTTTGGCTATAAAAGACACTCTGAAGGATTTGTTAAGTAAGTGGAGCATTGTTATCCTTACAGGGAACTATTGTCGAAATTAATTAATGGTAAGAACTGTTCCAGAGAAGTATCTGTTCTCTGTAACAGCGCAATGTATCGATATTCTTAGTATCACTCTCATAAATGTGTTTGCTTGAGATATGACTGCTAATACGGCAACCATCATTATGATGATATCGCCCATTTGAGAGAATACATATTTGCTCTTTAAATGTCATTAAAAAAAAATTCTGTGAGGATAATAATTTAATGAATTAGGAAAGGGCATGTCATCGGGCTGATCTAAAACCGCGGCATTTTCACAGTACTTTATTGTCCGGAAAAGCACAACGACAATAACATCCGGGAGATATCCCATTGTGCAGAAAGATGGTTCAGAAAAGAAAAGTTGAGCTTTCGAATATTCAAAGTATCAAATATTGCTTGCTAAAATAAAAGATTAATAGGACAAAAAAGCATTGCGCAATGATCTATAATAAAGCAATCTCGCAGATGTAAAATATTCCATCGCTAAGTGCAAATATTTTCTATAAAAACATGACGTCAAAAACGAAAAGAAAACGTTTAACGGAGAGGATATCAAAACTATAAATCCATTTTAATATGTATATGAATAAATTATTCTAATGATTACAGTTTCACCGCATCAACCGATGAGATGGATTAGCTGGTTCTCGTAATTGAGCAGTAAATGGTTCGTGAAATCATAAGAAATGACTGCTGAAAAATTGAACGCATTGTACAAAATAGCTGTGTAGTCGAGCAATAAATATAGTTTTAGGAACAATCTAAGAATTCATCAAGAAAGACTACAGAGCTTTCAGGATTCTGAAAATTACTCGAACTTTTCAGCGAATAGAATGAGAAGTAGCATTTCTCAATGGAAAATCCGACTGTCACTCTCTTTCGGAGAATTGCAATCCAACATTCAATCGTGAAGCTTTGCTTTGTTCAATTTTTGCAATTTCCCTCCAACCATTTTCGTGTTACTAAGGGATAGAAGAAGCCTTCAAAGTGATAAAGAAAGTAAAGCAGAATAAGTAATTTTTTTAACTGAAGAAACTCTACAAAAGATGAAATAAAAGAATTGGCCGACGAATGCGGTGGAATGGAAAAAAAGATCCGCCCGATGATTTTAGAGCAAGTTTGTTTTCTAGGTACAACAGTGCATTATTGAGTGATTGGTAACAGTGTGGTGTGAGTTCGCAGAGGTGCAGATAATTGATCTTGAACTTAACATTAAAAAGAAATAATATGGGAAAATAGCCTTTACTCACTCTTTGAAATGCAAATGTCAGGACAATATTGGTTAAATACGCTTTAAAGTTAGTCTGAAAGAAATTAGAAAAATTCGAAAAAGTGATAAACCAAAGCTAAAGTGTCTAAAGTCAGTTTACTGTCAGCAGTGGATACGACACTAAAACATGATACATGATGATTCAGAAAAAGTTAGGGTTCTGAGCATAGAAACAATAATTCTCAAGAATTCCTGGACGAACTTAGTCAAGATAGAGGTAGTAAAATAGTTAAACAGTGAATATCACGAAATGATAACACTGATTTTATCGTCCGCAATTTTGAGTCAATGGTATAATGAGAATGATGATCCCACTGTGATGAAGAAACCGAAAACAAACGTTCATCGAGGAATTTTGATTCAAGTTTCTGGAGGATTGAATCCGTTAACAATTCAATGCACAGTTCAATTAAGCAATTAATTTGACAAGTGAAAAGCCTTGAAGAGGTCGGAATTCTAAATAATGAATTCAGAAATTATTAACTTGTATCGAAATTTAGAGCTTCATTTGATATAAATACATTTTAATACTTGAAATATCTTCCGAAATATGAAAATAGCAAGCTATGGGCTGAAATTAGAGTCCAATTGATGTGAAAACTTCGACTGTTATCTGCATGTTCTTGATGCTCTTGAAAATATACACTTGATGTCTATGAAATAACAACTAACAAAAAACAAATATTTTTGTCGTGAAACAGACAATTCCAAAGTATTTGGAAACATAATAATATTTGGAACAGTAAGCACTAATTCGGAAACTTCTTCCTATGGTAAGAATTCAAAATTACTGAAAATAGTGTAAAACAAGTCTAATATAATTTCAGAGCAGAAGAATTTACCCATATCCATGAAATGTTCATTTGAACATAATGAAAGAATGAAGGAGAAAAGGAGTAATAGAAACTTTTACAGGTATTACGCATGTTGTTTGGGCTGTTTAATTATTACGTAACATAATAAGGTCAGCCAAACTATCAACTTATATTCATTTCATTTGCAAGAAAAAATGTCCACAACATTGCAATTTCTTTCTGCGATATTTCATATCAGTACCATTAGGGTTTTGTTTTGAAACATTTGTAAAATGGAGATTTTTTAAAGGTTTGTCAACATACTTTCGATGTGTAATAATAATTAATAATAATAATTAATAATAATAATAATAATTATTAATAA